GAAATTGAATTGAAATTGAAATTGAAATAAGTTTATTGAGGTAAAATACACACAAAGGGATGAGGTAGCTCAAGCTATTCTCACCCCGTTCAGTACAACGTGTTAATATATACATAGACACACATCACAAATAAACATATTACCAAACATTCTGAGAGGTAAAAATATACATTTCCTCCCTCACAAGTAGTATGTTATCAGACGTACACACAAATACTTTTATGACCTAGGTATACTGTATAGACAATTTGCAAGAGACATGCAGATAATTCAACAAAATATTACAATCTTGGTGCAAAATTCTTATATCTCTCAAGAATATCATCAACCTTTCCGTTGTGACACATCCAGGCTATTTGTTCAGGAACAGTCCTTATCTCAGTGTTTCTATATACACTAATCAACGGACAATCAAGAATATAATGGGCAAGGGTGTGAGACCTTAACATACCACATAGTTTACACTTCGTGTCATTACCATGAACATCTATCCCATATTCCCAGTAATATTTGTACCCAAGCCTGAGCCGCATGTACACAGAGTCACTCCAAGCATTTCTCCTTTTACCATAAGTGAAATGGGTGTTTTGACTCACATACTTGTAGTGTTGCATGGTTTGACTACTCTCATACATTATCTCTCTCCTCTCCACTCCCGCCTGTGCCTGAATATTTCTGATTTTGCTTCTTATTTGTCTCATTGTGAATACACATTCAATGTCAACTTGTGGTTTTGATGTGGCACGTTTGGCCAAGTCATCCGCCACCTCGTTGAGCACTATTCCAACATGAGATGGAATCCACATGAATTTCACACTATAACCTTTCAGCTGTATCTCAGTTATTCTTCTCTTACAGTCCTCCACTATAGACATGAAGACTGGGTTTCGACTGTTTAAGGACTCCAGTGCTCCTCGGCTATCGACAAATACAAAAACATTTTTGTCGTCATGACGTACTTCCTCCAAACACGCCAGAATGGCCTGCAGTTCAGCTTGTGTGGATGATATATAATTACTAAGCCGGAGTTCAATTATCCTGTCCACAGTCCCAAACTCCGTATAATCCCTTATTAGGACACCACACCCTGCCCTGCCATCCTCCGCCACCGACCCGTCGCAATATACATGTAAACTGTTGCCTCTTGGTAACCGAGATATCATGCTTCCATACAAACACCGTAATTGTCCCGGTTCATGATGAATCTTTTTCACCTTGAGGGGTACAATTTCGACGTCTATTTTCTGTACTTTCCAGGGAGTAGACATATTACACTTTCGAGAGGGTTTACAGCAGTCAAGTACGTCGTATTCCCTGAGGTCATGAGCTAATCCTCTCGTATAGCGTGTCTCCCTCAGTTTCCTGGAAGTGTGTACGTCACTCAAGCAGGTCTGAACGCTCTCAAACAGCTTATCCCCTCCTTTTCTCCGCATGAAACGAATAGATACTCTAGTGTTAATGTCACGGGGGTTAGGAGAGTACATAATAATGATCAAAAATCAAATTTTTATTTATTTTTATTTATATATATACAAGAAGGTACATTGAGTTTGTGAGAATACATTGGATAGTACAGTATTTACATTCTTGTAAAGCCACTAGTACGCACAGCGTTTCGGGCAGGAATCATATCAAATCATATCAAAATGTTTTATATATTAAATATATATCAAAATATATCAAAATGTTTATTCATGTAAAAGTTCATACATTGAAGATGAGTTAAAATATATAATGTTGGATTTCTAAATAAAGCTAATACATACAATACCTAAAGCCACTAGAACACATAGCGTTTATCGGGCAGGAAATACACAGAAATACATAGACCGATTATATCATCCTGTTTACACTGACTGCCTTCATAGACCGATTAAATCATCCTGTTTACACTGACTGCCTTCATAGACCGATTAAATCATCCTGTTTACACTGACTGCTTTCATAGACCGATTAAATCATCCTGTTTACACTGACTGCTTTCATAGACCGATTAAATCATCCTGTTTACACTGACTGCCTTCATAGACCGGATCATCCTGTTTACACTGACTGCCTTCATAAACCGATTAGATCATCCTGCTTACACTGACTGCCTTCATAGACCGATTAGACCATCCTGTTTACACTGACTGCTTTCATAGACCGATTAAATCATCCTGTTTACACTGACTGCCTTCATAGACCGATTAGATCATCCTGTTTACACTGACTGCCTTCATAGACCGATTAGATCATCCTGTTTACACTGACTGCCTTCATAGACCGATTAAATCATCCTGTTTGCACTGACTGCCTTCATAGACCGATTAAATCATCCTGTTTACACTGACTGCCTTCATAGACCGATTAAATCATCCTGTTTACACTGACTGCCTTCATAGACCGATTAAATCATCCTGTTTACACTGACTGCCTTCATAGACCGATTAAATCATCCTGTTTACACTGACTGCCTTCATAGACCGATTAAATCATCCTGTTTACACTGACTGCCTTCATAGACCGATTAGATCATCCTGCTTACACTGACTGCCTTCATAGACCGATTAGATCATCCTGCTTACACTGACTGCCTTCATAGACCGATTAGATCATCCTGTTTACACTGACTGCCTTCATAGACCGATTAGATCATCCTGCTTACACTGACTGCCTTCATAGACCGATTAGATCATCTTGCTTACACTGACTGCCTTCATAGACCGATTAGATCATCCTGTTTACACTGACTGCCTTCATAGACCGATTAGATCATCCTGTTTACACTGACTGCCTTCATAGACCGATTAGATCATCCTGTTTACACTGACTGCCTTCATAGACCGATTAGATCATCCTGTTTACACTGACTGCCTTCATAGACCGATTAGATCATCCTGTTTACACTGACTGCCTTCATAGACCGATTAGATCATCCTGTTTACACTGACTGCCTTCATAGACCGATTAGATCATCCTGTTTACACTGACTGCCTTCATAGACCGATTTGATCATCCTGTTTACACGCGGTTCTCGCAATTTACAATACGAGGGGGGGGGGGAGGGACCTCGATATAAGCCTAAACGTATATGAATACACTCTGGCTTCCTGTCCCCCGTCGGGACCATCTAATTACCCAATAGCTACCAAATGCTACCCAAAGCTACCCAATGGTACCCAAAGGTACCCAAGGCCTCCTAGCATTACGAAAACAATGACGAAATATGATATATTTACTCACTATAATGTTGGTGCTGAATATAGGATATGAAAGAATATATTTTTGCTCTGAGATAACATTATTTTATAACGAAATTAGACGATACTAAATGGCGGGCGACGCCACAGGCAGTCCACGATGCAAGGTAACTGTGTGACTCACTGTAGTTGTATAGTGCTTTGTATAGTGACTGTTGTGAGGCTCTTGTATAGTGACTGTTGTGAGGCTCTTGTATAGTGACTGTTGTGAGGCTCTTGTATAGTGACTGTTGTGAGGCTCTTGTATAGTGACTGTTGTGAGGCACTTGTATAGTGACTGTTGTGAGGCTCTTGTATAGTGACTGTTGTGAGCCTCTTGTATAGTGACTGTTGTGAGGCTCTTGTATAGTGACTGTTGTGAGCCTCTTGTATAGTGACTGTTGTGAGGCTCTTGTATAGTGACTGTTGTGAGGCTCTTGTATAGTGACTGTTGTGAGGCTCTTGTATAGTGACTGTTGTGAGGCTCTTGTATAGTGACTGTTGTGAGGCTCTTGTATAGTGACTGTTGTGAGGCTCTTGTATAGTGACTGTTGTGAGGCTCTTGTATAGTGACTGTTGTGAGGCACTTGTATAGTGACTGTTGTGAGGCTCTTGTATAGTGACTGTTGTGAGGCTCTTGTATAGTGACTGTTGTGAGCCTCTTGTATAGTGACTGTTGTGAACCTCTTGTATAGTGACTGTTGTGAGCCTCTTGTACAGTGACTGTTGTGAGGCTCTTGTATAGTGACTGTTGTGAGGCTCTTGTATAGTGACTGTTGTGAGCCTCTTGTATAGTGACTGTTGTGAGGCTCTTGTATAGTGACTGTTGTGAACCTCTTGTATAGTGACTGTTGTCAGCCTCTTGTATAGTGACTGTTGTGAGGCTCTTGTATAGTGACTGTTGTGAGCCTCTTGTATAGTGACTGTTGTGAACCTCTTGTATAGTGACTGTTGTGAGCCTCTTGTACAGTGACTGTTGTGAGCCTCTTGTATAGTGACTGTTGTGAGCCTCTTGTACAGTGACTGTTGTGAGGCTCTTGTACAGTGACTGTTGTGAGCCTCTTGTACAGTGACTGTTGTGAGCCTCTTGTACAGTGACTGTTGTGAGCCTCTTGTACAGTGACTGTTGTGAGCCTCTTGTACAGTGACTGTTGTGAGCCTCTTGTACAGTGACTGTTGTGAGCCTCTTGTACAGTGACTTGCGAGCTCTATAATAGTGTACAAGGAGTGTGCGGGCAGGCAAGCGCCGTGTTGGCCTCCGTGTGCACAATACTCAGCCCTGAGGACGGATTAGGATTGATTAGGAGCCCCGTAAACTGCCTATTTAATGCGGGCTAAATCTCCATGACTGAGAAAAGATGTACTGGTTTCGCACAAGGAAATGTAAGTGATGACAGTGAGTCCTTGCTCACTCAGACGCCAGGCAACACCCTCTGACTCCTCGAGTCAGGGGGGGGGGGGTGAGGCGAAACCTGTGGATCCCCGCCACCTTGCTGCTCGCCATACCTGCTCCCAGCAGCAACAGCTTGCTTGCCCAGGCTGCTGCTGAAGTCGTCAATACCGATGCAATTTTCAATGCAAACTTTAAACAACATTTTGCTAAATACGTGAAATTAATGTTTTATCAATACAGCAAGGCTGGTCGGTCTGCTTCCCCTGTCATCGAAACGAGGCAATTGGGCTGTAACAGTCGTTACCTTAGCAAATATATCAATTACACATTGTAATAGCTTCCAAATATTGTTTGTCAAATGAGGAAGCATTCCATAAGTTCACAAGATGTGCAGAAGACCAGCCACAACAGCCCAAGTGAAACCAGTAACGCAACACAGGCATATGCTCTCAAGGGCGACTAAGGTCCAGTCCGTCCTGGGCCAGGATTCAATAAGGTATTTATACAATAACTTGCGAAACCTCTACATCTTTCCTTAACCATAGCAACTTTGTTTACATTTATTAAACAGCTTACAAGCTTATCATGACTCTGTTCCCTTCGACTCTGTTCCCCTCGACTCTGTTCCCGTCGACTCTGTTCCCCTCGACTCTGTTCCCCTCGACTCTGTTCCCCTCGACTCTGTTCCCTTCGACTCTGTTCCCCTCGACTCTGTTCCCCTCGACTCTGTTCCCCTCGACTCTGTTCCCTTCGACTCTGTTCCCCTCGACTCTGTTCCCCTCGACTCTGTTCCCCTCGACTCTGTTCCCCTCGACTCTGTTCCCCTCGACTCTGTTCCCCTCGACTCTGTTCCCCTCGACTCTGTTCCCCTCGACTCTGTTCCCCTAGCTGAGAACAGGTCTCCGTGTGCTAAACAACACCTGAGAATGTTCACCATGAACACCTGAGTTCATAATGAAGTGTGACGCTTGTGTGTGGTCACTAGGGGAGTGTTGCCTCATCCTGAGGCAACACTGCCATCCTGAGGCAACACTGTCATCCTGAGGCAACACTGCCATCCTGAGGCAACACTGCCATCCTGAGGCAACACTGTCATCCTGAGGCAACACTGTCATCCTGAGGCAACACTGTCATCCTGAGGCAACACTGTCATCCTGAGGCAACACTGTCATCCTGAGGCAACACTGTCATCCTGAGGCAACACTGTCATCCTGAGGCAACACTGTCATCCTGAGGCAACACTGTCATCCAGAGGCAACACTATCATCCAGAGGCAACACTATCATCCTGAGGCAACACTGTCATCCTGAGGCAACACTGTCATCCTGAGGCAACACTGTCATCCTGAGGCAACACTGTCATCCTGAGGCAACACTGTCCTCACGAGGCAACACTGTCATCCTGAGGCAACACTGTCCTCACGAGGCAACACTGTCATCCTGAGGCAACACTGTCCTCACGAGGCATCACTGTCATCCTGAGGCAACACTGTCCTCACGAGGCAACACTGTCATCCTGAGGCAACACTGTCCTCACGAGGCAACTCTATCATATTGAGGCAACACTATCATCCTGCAACAATGTCATCATGAGGCAACACTATCATCCTGCAACAATGTCATCATGAGGCAACACTATCATCCTGCAACAATGTCATCCTGAGGAAACACTATCATCCTGCAACAATGTCATCCTGAGGAAACACTATCATCCTGCAACAATGTCATCATGAGGCAACACTATCATCCTCCAACAATGTCATCCTGCAACACTATCATCTTGAGACCTCCAATATAATTATATTACAAATCAACTATGCACGGTGAACATAAAAAAGAAGAATGAATAATGAAAGAAATAATCCGTAAAGGAGTAAAAAGCACTACTCCTAACCAAAACATAGACCTGATCATATTCTAAAACCAAGAAGACTACCGACCTTCTTATTAAAAACAGCCGGAAGCCGACGGAGAACCCTCTACAGCAGTCAAGCGTTGTATACATGTACACTTGCCCCCACGAAGGATGTAACCTTCAATCTAAGTACACAGGTATGACGTCGACCAAGCTGACGAGGCGTTTGACCTGTCATCTTCAATCCGGTGCCCCCAGGAATCACATGAGACAAGCCCATAACATCACCTTAACAAGATAAATGTTGAATAAAAACACTTGTATAATAGACAAAACCCAAGATGTAAGAAGATTACAAATTCTTGAAGCAATTCACATAAGAATAGAGCGACCTACCATGAACACCCAAATCACGGAACTATTTACTCTACCCACCATGAGAGTAAGGACAAGACCAGAACATGGGAGCCGGTCGGCCGAGCGGACAGCACGCTGGCTTGTGATCCTGTGGTCCTGGGTTCGATCCCAGGCGCCGGCGAGAAACATTGGGCAGAGTTTCTTTCACCCTATGCCCCTGTTACCTAGCAGTAAAATAGGGACCTGGGTGTTAGTCAGCTGTCACGGGCTGCTTCCTGGGGGTGGAGGCCTGGTCGAGGACCGGGCCGCGGGGACACTAAAGCCCTGAAATCATCTCAAGATAACCTCAAGATAACGATGCCAACACAGAAGACACTGTTCAACATAACAGGCCAATTACACTTGATTAGTCTTTGGGATAGGAGCTGCCTCGTATGGGCCAATAGGCCTTCTGCAGTTACCTTTATTCCTATGTTCTTATGTACTTCATCCCCCATTTATCCTCTATGTATCCCCTTTGCTTTTACCTTTATTGTACTTATATCCTGACCTCGTACGAGTATAAATCAACGAATTCTGTAATTTCCTTTCACTTGAGAATGAACCATGGAGGTTCGAAACGTTGTGCAAATTGTATAAATAATTGTAATACATTCTATAGTAATTCACATTTTTCTTCACCTTGAAAAAACGAAAAGTAGTTTTGGAGAACTCCTCTTTCAGCTAAGCCCTGATGCTAGGAAAATAGAGGGATAGAAGCCCTAAACCAGAAGACAGTAAATACAGAATATGCGGTCATATTCAATGATACATGTTTAAAAGAAAACCTGCTGCCAGTATACACCAATATATATATGACAGTCACATTTTTAATCACGTGTTTATTTTCGTGATGTACTCACTATATATATATATATATATATATATATATATATATATATATATATATATATATAACTGAAAACTCACACCCCAGAAGTGACTCGAACCCATACTCCCACAACTGGTATGTACAGGGACGCCTTAATCCGCTTGACCATCACGACCGGACATAAGGAAGTGATAGCCGAGGCTATATGAACCACTTCCCCGCCGGCACTCGGATGGTAATCTTGGGCATAGCATTTTATCAAATCACCTCATTCTTTGGGGCACACGTGAGGAACAATGCTAGTTTGCATTTGTGTTCCTCACGTGTGCCCCAAAGAATGAGGTGATTTGATAAAATGCTATGCCCAAGATTACCATCCGAGTGCCGGCGGGGAAGTGGTTCATATAGCCTCGGCTATCACTTCCTTATGTCCGGTCGTGATGGTCAAGCGGATTAAGGCGTCCCTGTACATACCAGTTGTGGGAGTATGGGTTCGAGTCACTTCTGGGGTGTGAGTTTTCAGTTGTATATAGTCCTGGGGACCATTCAGGCTTGTTTGCATATATATATATATATATATATATATATATATATATATATATATATAAACATATATATATATAACATATACATATATTTACATACAGTATATAATTACCAAAAAAATTTTTTTAGGTATAAATCGGGTCCGGGATGGTCCACTCATCTGGGTGTTTTGGCAGACCACTCAGTCTGTAAGGTCTCGGGAAGGTCTGGTCGTGAATGTGTCTGATCACCTTGTTGGAGAGTGATTCTTCTGGTTCTGTGTGGCCGCTCGTGGATCTCATAGTCGCTGGCTGTGTTGATTGCTTCCCTGTCTAGCTGACTGGTATTCTGCGCACCTCGGTGCTCAGGTGTCCCAAACTGTCGTATAGCACTCGTCACACCCCCCTCCCCACTGACAGATTTTTATATATCTCAAAAAAAAAATAATAATAATAATAGAGTTGTTACATTCTTGTACAGCCACTAGTACGCGTAGCGTTTCGAGCAGGTCCCTGGAATACGATCCCCGCCGCGAAGAATCGTTGTTACAACCAACGCAGTACGTATTTTACTGTTGTGTTAAACAGAGGCTACAGTTAAGGATTTGCGCCCAGTAAATCCTCCCCGGCCAGGATACGAACCCATGACAAAGCGCTCGCGGAACGCCAGGCGAGTGTCTTACCACTACACCACGGAGACTGATTTTGTTATAATTTTTTTTTTGTGTGTGTAAGGACCGTATGACTGACCAGGTCATTTAAAGTCCTACTCTGAAGGGCGAGGTGATACCCTGCGGGCTTTGACACAAGGGGAACTCCTTAGATGGTGCACCGAGTCTGACGGAAAATTAGACCAAACCACTCAATTAAGTGTTAGGTATCCCTGTTCCACCTGGGGGAATCATTTTATAACCTCCGTTGGAGAGGAATGAATTTCTCCAGGCCTAAGAGTGTCTCAAGCATTAGGTAGCGAATCAGTCCTCACTACGTGGAGACGTCATGGGGAAGTCAAAGAGAAAGAGGCAATGGAGGCAGCTTTCAGATGAGGAGAGACAGTGGACCGAGGTGCAGCAGGCACCGAAGAAAACTGCTATCAAGGCTTCACCACGTGCTTCTACCAGCAAGACACCAAACATAATGGACCTAGAGAGGACAGCATCAGTCACACACCAGCCAGTGTCAGGCAATGCTTCTCTGTCCACAACCCAGTCACAGGACAACAGTATGAGACAGGAGAGGACACCACCATTCTCACACCAGACATCGTCAAACTGCACATCTTTCAAAATTCAAGATAATGCAGACAGACCACTTTTCTACAGCATATGGAGTAGTAACGGCAATGCGAAAAGGGACAACCAGAGCTCAAACTTTCCATCACAGTCAACCTGAAAGGAGAAATAATAATGACGCCACGAGACCAACATGTAATAACCCAATATACCATTGTAATATCCCTCTGACCTCTTGTGATCGTAATCGTTCGCTATCCCTGTTGTAAATCTCTTTCTTTTTTTTTTCTTTTTTTTTGAGATATATACAAGAGTTGTTACATTCTTGTACAGCCACTAGTACGCGTAGCGTTTCGGGCAAGTCCTTAATCCTATGGTCCCTGGAAGACGATCCCCTGCCGCGAAGAATCGTTTTTTCATCCAAGTACACATTTTACTGTTGCGTTAAACAGAGGCTACAGTTAAGGAATTGCGCCCAGTAAATCCTCCCCGGCCAGGATACGAACCCATGACATAGCGCTCGCGGAACGCCAGGCGAGTGTCTTACCACTACACCACGGAGACTGCTCACTCAATACCCCAGCTCAACACTGTTACAGTCCAGTATGACCCCTCACTGGACTGCCACGTATATAAGAGGCATATTAAATGAGGAAGATACATCAAGGACAAGGGTTACTAGTTTATATAAAAAAAAACAATAACAAAACTCATTAGACACTGCCACCACCTTCCCGACCAACCATACCTGAATGTGTCTATCACCGATCTCCCAGGAAGGCGAGGCATCAGTGATCATGGCACTCCGGGTAATATGAGTTTCAGTAATAAATTTTCGGAAATTAGTTTGTTTAATTTACGTTACTTCTTTAAAACCAGGGGCAACTTTAGTATCTATTAACTGTAGGAGAACATGGGGGGGGGGGGGTTTCCAATTCAACACACAGAAATGACAAAGTAGAAAAATATATCAAAGGGGAGTTAAGTGAATACCACTGGACAAGTTATACAATTTATTTTATGAACCATGTAAATTAAGACAATTTGAACATATACCCTATTCTATTTCCCCTAGAGGCACAATGGATATTTACTGAGGACATGAAACTCAAGTGCACTATACCTTAAATACCCGCACTAAGGGCAAGATGTTGATGGCTGCCCTCAGCCCCTAGGATACGGGCTTGTGGCCCTCCAGTCCCGAATACACTCCCAAGACACACTAATGAAATTTTGTTTTACCAGCTTATTGCTGGGAAGGATTACTCCTCCCACCATCTAATACAGCCCCAGGGCTCCACCCATTATTTTGGCAATGGCCAACCATTTAACACTTAGGCCTGAGGTCTGGCTCTCTTGGGCCAATAAGGACTTGGCCCTTATCTCAAGCCAATCACCTTCACTGATCTGCTGTGGAAGGCTACATGAATTCCTGAAGATTGAATCAACTCTCCCCAGCTATGTGATGGGGACAAGGTACCACTGTATTGGATACCCTCGGCTAGTGTACCTCCTGAGCAATGTTTACGAAACTGATCAATTATGTTCAAGCCTGTCTCCTGCAAGATAAAGGGTAGGGACATTTGACTCGTCTGGTATGGGGAAGGGACCGCTAAGAGGGGAAGAGAGGGAATGAGAGGGGGATGGAGAGGGAAAATCTGAGTGGGGGAAGTTGAGTGGGGGAAGCCAAAGGTATCCAAGACCACCCTCAGGTCAACCTCTTGACCCTGACAAATGGGCGACAGGGGGGGGGGGGAAGAGGAGGAGACGAATGACGGCCAAGGGAAGGGGAGAAGAGAGAAGGAAAGGAGGGGAGAAGGGAGAACCAATGATCTGAGCACCAGATCATTACAAACAGACTGCAAATTACTTAAAAAAGTAAGAGTCCTGCAAGGATATCCTGTTGCTTGGAAAACCTGGACCCTTCAGAAAGACGCACACCAGTCGTGCTTTTGGGATATCCAATCAACTTCTCACTAGATCCAGTACTAGAACACAAGCAAATCCTGAATGCAGAACGATGTCGCAAAAAAGTAGACAAGGCAGCGACACGTCAGATTCTGGTGACCGTCATGGGACATGTGCCAGAAACATTCAGTCTTGGAAATTAGGGAACATACCGACAGAGACCATATGTCCCGGAACCCCTGCACTGCTTCAGATGTCAGAAATACGGCCACCATCAATCACGCTGCGCCAGACAGGAGAGATGTGGAGTGTGCAGCCTGAGGCATCCAGTCAAAGACTGAATAGCCAAGCACAAGGCAAACTAGACAACAACAGCCAAATATCCAAATTGTGGAGGCAAACATCATGCCTGGAGCACAACCTGCTCTGCGTGTAAAGAAAAGGTGCAGACAGCTCAGGACAGGATACACACACAGAGCAGCACTACATACACCAACATCGTGGGGAACACTCGTGCACAGCCACAGCAGACACCCTTTTCACAGAACAATATTTCCCGAATCTATTAACTTAAAATCAGAAAATACACAAAAAACATAATGCAAAACTACAACAAAATAAAAAAGAAGCAAAAAACAATCACTTTCGGAATCAATACAACAAATAAATACAGTTTTACGGAGGTCCAGCTGAAAAACATGGTGAAGATCATGGCAGAGACTATTATCAATTGTCTACAGATGACGCAGAACGCCTCACAACATCAGACTCAAGAAATCACTTGTGTAATAATGGACAAGATCGTGCAGCAGATCACAGTTACACAATCTGCTGAGCCGGTCGGCCGAGCGAACAGCACGCGGGACTTGTGATCCTGTGGTCCTGGGTTCGATCCCAGGCGCCGGCGAGAAACAATGGGCAGAGTTTCTTTCACCCTATGCCCCTGTTACCTAGCAGTAAATTAGGTACCTGGGTGTTAGTCAGCTGTCACGGGCTGCTTCCTGGGGGTGGAGGCCTGGTCGAGGACCGGGCCGCGGGGACACTAAAAGCCCCGGAATCATCTCAAGATAACCTCAAGATACACAAGAAATAGACAGTCTGAGAGAAGAAGAACCACAAGAGGACAAACAACGCAACATGGACATACAGACTATCAACAACAGTCGGGTAGTCAAGACACCAGACCATCAACATTTGCAAAAGCAACTGTGTAATGGCCACTTTGGGTCAGTAACCAGGTTCTTGCTGTTATAAACTCTTCTTCAATATCCAACCCCAAATCGGTGGTATGCTTTCAAGAACTGGCTGTCAGGTATTAGTGCAAAGAATAAAAAGGGGATAAACAATACACAATCACACCATCACCAATATATTAACACCTTCACTACTATATATATTATATTAAAGTATTACTACACGTATTTACAAAGTGTCTTTCACTCAGGACACAATACATCGGCAGTGTTCATCAATCCTGGCGAATCCACTTTCCAGGTACACGTCTTCCACACCTAATGGCAAACACTGGCGAGTTCACCTTCTGCAACATGGGCCAGTCCACACACACTGTATCTTCACGATGTGCTAATACTTCACCTCCACTCTCCAGATACACACTGCATGGCAGAGGGTTTCAGCAACTTGCTGACAGGGGGGTTCTCAAACAATCACATACTGGAGTAGCTGGCACCCTGGCCGAAGTCTCTAGGAGTTTGCTAGCAGCACTTCTCAACAGACACATCACTGTCGTCACGTAACTCTTCCTGGCCAATCCCGGGTATGTCAGCCCATCCAACACTGCATAAACCATCAGCTAACACACTGCTATAACCGACAGCAGCCACTTTATCCTCTCATAGGACCAAATCAAGAGTGTTTTGACTTCGCAAGGTGAACTGCCTTCATCAGTGCTGTCGCCTCCTTATGTCACTTGTGTGAACATAAAACGTCATTAACTAGATGGACAGTACACTGGGTGCCCTTAGAATAACACCCTTCCACCGGGGAATTGAAATTGTAAATTGTAGCCACATCCTAGATGGCGTTGATCTCGATACACCACCCACCAGAGATCATCATCATCGACCTCCTCTTCTAACTGAGGCCAGAAACCAGAGCCTTTCACCAATACCACGCCACCACCAATAGATGGCGTTGTCTACGTAGCACCCAATACCAAGGAGTTGGAGTGCAGACCCATAGATGGCGCAGTAATCGCCACTCCATGCTCCAGCGACGGTGTCGATACCATAACAAACTGCAAGAAGCAGTCACCACTCAAGATCAACAGAATCTTACAACACAAAAGACGGACATCAACAGACAATGCGGCCCCGATATGCAACAACACCAACAAAGAAGTACTGAACAGCCGAGAAGCACAGGTTCCAACAGCACAGGTTCCAAGAGGCGGGCACGAACAATCAATGCGGCCCGATATGCAGCAACACCAACAAAGAAGTACTGAACAGCCGAGAAGCACAGGTTCCAACAACACAGGTTCCAAGAGGCGGGCACGAATAATCAATGCGGCCCGATATGCAGCAACACCAACAGCAAAGTGATGGAGAACAGGGCTGCACAGATTCCAACAATGCTGGGGTTGACCATGAGCAATCAGTGCAGTCCGATTTGCAGCGACACGACTTGCGAGGTGGAGAATAGAGACGTTGATTCTGAAGAGGCGTTCTACTAGAACAGGCAACACCAACCGAAACCTTCGTCTGGCCATTACGAATACTACAGTGGAACATACAAGGTCTTGGATATAAAAATCACACCCTTCGGGAAGTTGCAATTAGCACGAAAGCAGATATAGTTGCTTTGGAAGAAACTCTTCCCAGCCACGAAGTCCTTCAGATCAGCTGGATATCAGCACTATGTTATACCGTATGAACAGGGAGAAACAAAGAGGGTTAATGACCCTAGTCAGGAACACTATACCCAGCAAGAAAATGGACCCAGTTTCATGTGAGGATGGAGTAGAGGTATTAGCAGTAACTGTGAATATGGCTCACCTAGCCATACCTAGTTCACCTAGCAGTAAATACGTACCAGGGAGTTAGACAGCTAAAACAGAGTGCTTCCTGGGGATGTGAGTGTGCGTGTGTTAGAGAGATATATACGTAGTAGATATATTAGAGGAAAAATAGATTGGTTAGAAAGGTGGGGTCCAAGAGCTAATAGCTTGATTCTGCAGGCACAAATAGTAAATGCAAATTGAAGGAGGTTCCCTTGATCTTACATTAATCTCAACAGTACTCAAGTATCAGGCGAAGTGGGAGGTAGACCCAGTGATCACCAGTGACCACTATGCTACTGTCACAACACTAAACATAGAACGACCTCCTGCACCACCTGCACAACCTAGGTGGAATTTATAGAAAGCCAATTGGAATATATACCAAGAGGACCTTGAAAAATGGTATGCAACATACACGCCACCTGAGGATTTGAACATTCACAAGACCAATCTGCAGGAAGCCATTGCAGCTGCTGCAAAAATAAAGCCATTCCAATCATTATCCCAGGAAACACAAAACGAAAGAACTATTGGTTCTGTAGTAATGAAGTTAAAGAACAAAGCAACAGAGTCAACATCTTCAGAAAACATCTAAGGAGAAACCCCACACTAGTAGGAAGAACTCTGCTAAGAGCGGTGATATCTGAAGAAAGACGATTTTAATCTGTGTAAACACTATGCAAATAAAGGGACCTGGTCTATGGAACTCACTCCCTAACGAATTGAAAAGCTGTCCAACTTTTGCCTTATTCAAAAACCAAACCAAAAAGTACCTAATTTCATCTTCATAGTTTCCTGCCTTGTGGTTTAAACTCTTACTGTGTCTAGTGCTACCCAATCCCCCCGACATATGTACTTAAGCCATATAACTTTATCATTGTGATCATTGCTGTCATTTTAATTTGTGCTCTCAATATGCTGTAATGTGAATACTAATCTTTGTCAAATTATCAATCAAGGTATCAATGCTATCAATTAAAACTATCAATGTGCTTTAATAACCTTCTAATCTTTATCAAATTTTCTTACAATTTTCTTACAAATGTTCGATTGTTCAAAATCGCGAATCTCCGAAAATTCTTCACCGATTGCTTTGAAATTTTGATACAATGTTCCATTCACATATAAGCATGTTTTTATATACCTACTATATAGATGTCACATTTGTGACAGTTAACTTTTTTTTTAAACTGTGTTTTTCATGTGAGTTTTTATGTGAGGAGACATCTCCGAAACCTCTTCTCCAATTGCTTTGAAATTTTGACACAGCGTTCCATTCGAATACACGCGTGTTTTTATATACGTACTATATAGATGCCACACCTGTGACAGGTAAAAACATGCTTTTTTGAAAAACAGTGCCATCTGTTGCATGTTGAATTCACACATGCTTTACTAAATGTGTTACGATTCGATTTCAATGTTTCCAATTGCACTGATAAATTGAATTTTCATAAATTTCGATATATTTTCAATTGATTTAATTATTTTGTGTGACATTGCATTGGAATTGATCTGTGTTGTTTACCATACCGTTTATTTCGTGAGTATAGTTTATTTGTTTATTTTTTAATTGTTTTTCATTTCGTTTTTTTAACTGTCCTTCATATTTTTCAGTGATGGGAACATCAAATTATTTGATGTTCCCATTTTTTCTGGTGGGAACATCAGATCATTTGGGAACGCATCAGACGAGGGTGTGGAGAATAGTGGTGGAGGACGAGGGGATAGGAGTGGGGGATGATGGGGAGGACAAGGGGGACGGGGGAGTTGGGAGGATGGAATAGGGGACAGGGGAGTGGGGGATGATGGGAAGGACGGGGGGACAGGGATGGGGTAATGGTGGGAAGGATCAGGGACGGAGAAGTGACGGATGGTGGGGAGGACGAGGGGATGGGGGAGTAGGAGATGGTGGGGAGAACTAGGGGATGGGGGAGTAGGAGATGGTGGGGAGAACTAGGGGATGGGGGAGTAGGAGATGGTGGGGAGAACTAGGGGACGGGGAGGGGGAAAATGATGGGGAGGACGTGGGGGACAGCAGAGGGGTTGCTGAGGCTCAGCAACGTGCATGCGGTGCTGTGGCTCAGCAACGTGCATGCGGTGCTGAGCCTCAGCAACGTGCATGCGGTGCTGAGCCTCAGCAACGTGCATGCGGTGCTGTGGCTCAGCAACGTGCATGCGGTGCTGTGGCTCAGCAACGTGCATGCGGTGCTGAGCCTCAGCAACGTGCATGCGGTGCTGAGCCTCAGCAACGTGCATGCGGTGCTGTGGCTCAGCAACGTGCATGCGGTGCTGTGGCTCAGCAACGTGCATGCGGTGCTGTGGCTCAGCAACGTGCATGCGGTGCTGAGCCTCAGCAACGTGCATGCGGTGCTGTGGCTCAGCAACGTGCATGCGGTGCTGAGCCTCAGCAACGTGCATGCGGTGCTGAGCCTCAGCAATGTGCATGCGGTGCTGTGGCTCAGCAACGTGCATGCGGTGCTGTGGCTCAGCAACGTGCATGCGGTGCTGAGCCTCAGCAACGTGCATGCGGTGCTGTGGCTCAGCAACGTGCATGCGGTGCTGAGCCTCAGCAACGTGCATGCGGTGCTGAGCCTCAGCAACGTGCATGCGGTGCTGAGCCTCAGCAACGTGCATGCGGTGCTGAGCCTCAGCAACGTGCATGCGGTGCTGAGCCTCAGCAACGTGCATGCGGTGCTGAGCCTCAGCAACGTGCATGCGGTGCTGAGCCTCAGCAACGTGCATGCGGTGCTGTGGCTCAGCAACGTGCATGCGGTGCTGAGCCTCAGCAACGTGCATGCGGTGCTGTGGCTCAGCAACGTGCATGCGGTGCTGAGCCTCAGCAATGCGTCGCGGGATACAGCTTATAAATAAATAAATTTCTTGAGAGATAAAGGAGGCATGATGGCTTGAGTGGTGTCAAATTCTAAATGAACATAGTAATCTTGGCAAGATATGGGGTCAGATTGAAACCATAACAGCCCGACCAGCCCGACCACAGGCATGTATTCAACCATTGCAGGAGGCTGAGAGACTTGCTCTCCAAGTTGCAGAAAGAACAGCTTCATATCAGCTTCCTGCAATAGTCAGAAGGCAGCAAGAACAATTAAAACATGAGAGGTTGACAGCCATTCATGAGAGCATAGCTATAAATGACGAATGTGACTGTCCCTTCAACAAACAAGAACTAATCAGAGCCAAAAAAGGTGGTAAGGACACTGCACCAGGTGCTGATAACATTACATACTCAATGGTCGCACATGCAGGTCCTGCTGGAGAACAAGGAATATTGGACGTCATCAATGCATCTTGGCAGCAAGGCAAACTACCGACCTCTTGGAAGCAAGCAGACATCATACCGATTCCTAAGCCGAAAGAACCTGGCAATTACAGACCCATTTCATTAACATCATGCATTAGTAAAACTGCAGAACGGATGGTCTTAAATAGGCTACTGTAGAAGACTGGAGACCTTCATAAACACATATTTGGCTTCACTAAAGGAGTAGGTACTGCAAACTGCATAGCAACATTACTAGGAACAGTTAACTCAGGTCCAGCTATAGTGATCTTCCTTGATCTAGAAAAAGCATTCGAACTTGCAAGCCTGCAAGCAACTTTACACACCTTAGTTAAAAAAGGTGTAAAGGGAAATATGCTAGCATGGATTCAAGATTACCTAAGTCACAGGTATGCCAGAAAAAAGTTGCAAGGACATGTGTCGGACTACCACTTGCCTGAGAATGGGACTCCACAAGGAGGAGTCCTCAGTTCTAGTCTTTTTAACATCCTTATAGAAAACCTCGTTGCCATGACATTTGCAGAAGGGGTTAATTTTTTCCAGGTACATCGTGTGTATTGTTCCGTTTTATTGTATTCTGATTCATCTCATCAGCATTGAATCGTTGGCAAACATTGACATGAATGCTGCTGCTTTGTAAGTTATATCGTATATGTACTTGTGAAACCATTCTGGTCGTGGTACAAATTCCTGAGGTCCTCTGCTCCTTAGTTCTTTCTCTCCAATCTGCTCTCTCCAGCTACTTTACTATTCCTTTCTCTACGTCGAGTACTTATTCTGTCAAGCGGTTCAGTACAATACAAGCGGCTCCAGCTTATGCATCATGTTTCACACTGGTGTGGAACAGTGCCAAAGATTTTCTGGCAGTCCAAGAAGATGCAGGAAACTATCGTTTTCTCTCTCTTGAGCAATCATCGGTATCTTGTTACATATCTCCAACAGGTATGAGAGAGTGCGTGTACTCACCTATTTGTGCTTGCCGGATCGAGCATTGACTCTTGGATCCCGCCTTTCCAGCCATCGATTGTTTACAGCAATGACTCCTGTCCCATTTCCCTATCATACCTAATTTTAAAATTATGAATAAAGTTTGCTTCCACAACCTGTTCCCCAAGTGCATTCCTTTTTTCCACTACTCTCACGCTAAAAAAAAACTTCCTGACATCTCTGTGACTCATCTGAGTTTCCAGTTTCCACCCATGTCCCCTCGTTCTGTTATTATTACGTGTGAACATTTCATCTATTTCCACTTTGTCAATTCCCCTGAGAATTTTATATGTCCCTATCATATCTTCTCTCTCCCCCTTCTTTTCTCTAGTGTTGTAAGGTTCAGTTCCTACAGACGTTCTTCAAATCCCATCCCTCGTAACTCTGGGACAAGCCTCGTCGCAAACCTCTGAACCTTCTCCAGTTTCCTTATGTGTTTCTTCAGGTGGGGGCTCCATGATGGCGCGGCATACTCTAAGACTGGTCTCACGTAGGCAGTGTAAAGCGCCCTAAAAGCTTCCTCACTTAGGTTTCTGAATGAAGTTCTAATTTTCGCCAGTGTAGAGTACGCTGCTGTTGTTATCCTATTTATATGTGCCTCAGGAGTTAGATTAGGAGTTACGTCCACTCCCAGGTCTCTTTCTCGAATCGTTACAGGTAGGCAGTTCCCCTTCATTGTGTACTGTCCCTTTGGTCGCCTGTCACCTGATCCCATTTCCATAACTTTACATTTACTGGAGTTGAACTCCAGTAGCCATTTCTCTGACCATCTCTGCAACCTCTTTAGTCCTCTTGGAGGATCCTACAATCCTCATCTATCACTACTCTTCTCATTAATTTTGTGTCATCCGCAAACATTGACATGTATGATTCCACTCCTGTAAACATATCATTTACGTAAATTAGAAAGAGGATTGGTCACAGCACCGATCCTTGAGGTACTCCACTTGTTACTGTTCGCCAGTCCGACTTTTCGCCCCTTACCATTACCCTCTGGCTCCTTCCTGTTAGGTAGTTCTTCACCCATACTAGGGCCTTTCCGCTTACTCCTGCCTGCCTCTCAAGTTTGTATAGCAGTCTCATGTGCGGTACCGTATCAAAGGCCTTTTGGCAGTCAAGAAATATGCAGTCTGCCCAGCCTTCTCTGTCCTGTCTTATCCTTGTTACTTTATCATAGAATTCTAAAAGGTTTGTTAGGCATGATTTCCCTGTCCAGAACCCATGTTGGTGCTTGTTTACAAACCCAATGCTCTCCAGGTGCTCAACAAGTCTTAGCCTAATTATTCTTTCAAGTATTTTGCAGGGGATGCTTGTCAGTGATACGGGTCTGTAGTTAAGTGCCTCCTCCCTATCACCTTTTTTGAAAATCGGTACGACATTTGCCTCCTTCCAGCAACTGGGCAATTCTCCCGACATAAGTGACTCATTAAAGATCATTGCCAGAGGCACGCTGAGAGCCTGCGCTGCCTCTTTAAGTATCCACGGTGATACTTTGTCTGGTCCAACAGCTTTATTTGCATCCAGTGTTGTCAACTGTTTCATTACATCCTCTGCTGTCACCTCTATATCTGATAGTCTTTCATCTTAGGTAATCTCTTCTAACAATGGGAGCTGCTCAGGCTCGGTTGTGAACACTCCATGGAATTTTGCATTCAGTACCTCGCAGATTTCCTTGTCGCTTTCTGTATATGCCCCTTCTGTTTTCCTCAGTCTTGTCACTTGGTCATTGACCGACATCTTCCTTCTTATATGGCTATGTAGTAATTTTGGTTGCTTTTTCGCTTTGACTGCAATATCATTCTCATAATTTCTTTCCGACACTCGTCTTATGTTAATGTAATCATTCCTAGCTCTGTTACATCTAATCCTGTTGTCCTCTGTCCTTTGTCTTCTGTACTTCCTCCACTCCCTCCTGCTTCTCACCTTTGCTTCCTGACACTGTCTATTAAACCATGGGTTATTATATTCCCTCCTGCTTTTTTCCTTTATTGTTGGAATAAATCTCTCTTCAGCCTCCTTGCATTTCAATATGACTTGGTTCATCATACCTTGCACTGTTTTTCCTCTAAGTTCTTCCTCCCACTGCACTTCTCCCAGGTAGTCCCTTATCCTTCTGTAGTCCCCTTTTCTGTAATCAAGTCTCCTTTCCCGGACCTCTTGTCCTTTGGTCACAATTTTAAGCTCCATCATGTAGTCAAAGACTAGGACACAATGGTCACTAGCTCCTAATGGTATTTCATGTTCCAACTGCTCGATGTTTTCTACATTCTGGGTGAAAATGAGATCTAATAGGCTGGGCGTATCCCCTGCTCTTTCCCTAGTATCTTCTTTCACATGCTGTGTTAGGAAATTCCTGTCAATAACGTCTACCAGCTTCGCTCCCCAGGTCTCCTCCCCGCCATGGGGATTCCTCGTTTCCCAATCTATCTCTCCGTGATTTAGGTCCCCCATGACCAGCAGCTTCGCTCTCATTCTATGCGCTAAAGTTGCTGCCCTCTGCAGTTCATCTATACATGTCTTGTTACTATACATGTGTGTGTGTGTGTGTGTGTGTGTGTGTGTGTGTGTGTGTGTGTGTGTGTGTGTGTGTGTGTGTGTGTGTGTGTGTGTGTGTGTGTGTGTGTGTGTGTGTGTGTGTGTATGTGTGTGTGTGTGTACTTACATAATTGTACTTACCTAGTTGTGCTTGTGGGGGTTGAGCTCTGGCTCTTTGGTCCCACTTCTCAACCTTCAATCAACTGATGAACACATTCCTGAGCCTGCTGGGCTCTATCATATCTATATTTGAAATTGTGTATGGAGTCAGCCTCCACCACATCACTGCCTAATGCATTCCATCTGTTAACTACTCTGACACTAAAAAAGTTCTTTCTAACGTCACTGTGGCTCATTTGGGTACTTAGTTTCCACCTGTGTCCCCTTGTTCGCGTCCCACCCGTGTTAAACAGTTTATCCTTATCTCCCCTGTTAATTCCTCTGAGTATTTTGTAGGTAGTTATCATGTCTTCCCTCACTCTTCTGTGTTCCAGTGTCGTGAGGTGCATCTCACGCAGCCTTTTCTCGTAGTTCATGTCTCTTAATTCCGGGACTAGTCTAGTGGCATACCTTTGGACTTTTTCCAGCTTCGTCTTGTGCTTGACAAGGTACGGGCTCCATGCTGGGGCCGCATACTCCAGGATTGGTCTTACATATGTGGTATACAAGGTTCCCAATGATTCCTTACACAGGTTCCTGAAGGCTGTTCTGATGTTAGCCAGCCTCGCATATGCCGCAGACGTTATTCTTTTTATGTGGGCTTCAGGAGACAGGTTTGATGTGATATCAACTCCTAGATCTTTCTCTCTGTCCGTTTCACGAAGTTCTTCACCTCCCTTTCGGTATCCTGTGTCTGGCCTCCTGTTTCCACCGCCTAGATTCATTACCATTATTTCATTCCTTCAGTACCCGGGTTGAACTTTACTAGCCATTTGTTGGACCAATCATTCAGTCTGGTCATCCTGTAGCCTCCTACTATATTCCTCTGTTTTAATCCTCCTCGTAATTTTTGCATCAGCAAACAATGAGAGGACCGATTCTATACCATCTGGGAGATCATTTTCATATATCAGAAACAGTATGGGTCCAAGGACTGAACCCTGCGGGACTCCACAGGTGACGTCTCGCCAATCTGAGACCTCACACCTCACAGTGAATCGCTGTCTTCTATTGCATAGGTACTCCCTTATCCAACGGAGTACCTTCCCTTTCACTCCTGCCTGCATCTCCAGCTTTTTCATTAGCCTCTTGTGTGGTACCGTATTGTGTTAAAGGCTTTCTGGCACTCTTTCTTGTCTGATTAATGTTGCCTGGTCGTAGAATTCAAGTGTGTGTGTGTGTGTGTGTGTGTGTGTGTGTGTGTGTGTGTGTGTGTGTGTGTGTGTGTGTGTGTGTGTGTGTGTGTGTGTGTGTGTGTGTGTGTGTGTGTGTGTGTATGTATGTGTGTGTGTGTGTGTGTGTGTGTGAGTGTGAGTGTGTGTGTGTGTGTGTGTGTGTGTGTGTGTGTGTGTGTGTGTGTGTGTGTGTGTGTGTGTGTGTGTGTGTGTGTGTGTGTGTGTGTGTGAGTGTGTGTGTGTGTGTGTGTGTATTCACCTGGTAGTGCTTGTGGGGGTTGAGCTCTGCTCTTTCAGCCCGAAAGAGCAGAGCTCTTCAGATCCCTTTCACAAAAACCTATAGCATCCCGAAAAATATGTTTTTCTTATAAACCCCTTCCATCCCAATTTTGCCTTTCCTCCTTTTCCAAAAAGAAAAGAGAGCCCCACCTCAGAGAAAAGAGAGCCCCACCCCAGAGAAAAAGAGAGCCCCCACCCCCGAGAAAAAGAGAGCCCCCACCCCAGAGAAAAGAGAGCCCCACCCCAGAGAAAAAGAGAGCCCCCACCTCAGAGAAAAAGAGAGCCCCCACCTCAGAAAAAGAGAGCCCCACCCCAGAGAAAAAGAGAGCCCCCATCCCAGAGAAAAGAGAGCCCCACCCCAGAGAAAAGAGAGCCCCCCACCTCAGAAGAAAGAAAGCCCCCACCCCAGAGAAAAAGAGAGCCCCCACCTCAGAGAAAAAGAGAGCCCCCACCCCAGAGAAAAAGAGAGCCCACACACCAGAGAAAAGAGAGCCCACCCCAGAGAAAAGAGAGCCCCCACTCCAGAGAAAAGAGAGCCCCCACCCCAGAGAAAAGAGAGCCCCCACCCCAGAGGAAAGGAGCCCACACCCCAGAGAAAAGAGAGCCCCCACCCCAGAGGAAAAGAGCCCCCACCCCAGAGAAAAGAGAGCCCCACCCCAGAGAAAAAAAGAGCCCCCACCCCAGAGAAAAGAGAGCCCCACCCCAGAGAAAAAGAGTCCCCACCTAACAGCAAAAGGAGCCCCACGCCCGAAGAAAAAGAGCCCCCACCCCAGAGAAAAAGAGAGCCCCCACCTCAGAGAAAAAGAGAGCCCCCACCCCAGAGAAAAAGAGAGCCCCCACACCAGAGAAAAGAGAGCCCCACCCCAGAGAAAAGAGAGCCCCCACTCCAGAGAAAAGAGAGCCCCCACCCCAGAGAAAAAGAGCCCCCACCCCAGAGAAAAAGAGCTCCCACCCCAGAGAAAAAAAGAGCCCCCACCCCAGAGAAAAGAGAGCCCCACCCCAGAGAAGAAGAGTCCCCACCCAACAGCAAAAGGAGCCCCACGCCCGAAGAAAAAGAGCCCCACCCCGGAGTAAAAGAGCCCACCCCAGAGAAAAAGAGCCCCCACCCCAGAGAAAAAGAGAGCCCCCACCTCAGAGAAAAAGAGAGCCCCCACCCCAGAGAAAAAGAGAGCCCCCACACCAGAGAAAAGAGAGCGCCCACCCTAGAGAAAAGAGAGCCCCCACCCCAGAGGAAAAGAGCCCCCACCCCAGAGAAAAGAGAGCCCCACCCCAGAGAAAAAAAGAGCCCCCACCCCAGAGGAAAAGAGCCACCACCCCAGAGAAAAGAGAGCCCCACCCCAGAGAAAAAGAGTCCCCACCCAACAGCAAAAGGAGCCCCACGCCCGAAGAAAAAGAGCCCCACCCCGGAGTAAAAGAGCCCACCCCAGAGAAAAAGAGCCCCCACCCCACAGAAAAAGAGCCCCCACCCCCGGAGAACAAGAGCCCCCATCCCAGAGAAAAGGAGCCCACCCCAGAGAAAAAGAGCCCCCACCCCAGAGAAGAAGAGCTCTCACCCCAGAGAAAAAGAGCTCCCACCCTAGAGAAAAAGAGCACCCACTCCAGAGAAAAGTGCCACCACCCCAGAGAAAAAGAGCCTCCAACACCCCCCCCCCCCGAGAAAAAGAGCCCTCACCTCTTGCTTTTATCTTTCCTTCTTTGTCACTATGGCATTTTTATTTGTTTAATGAAAGAACCATACAGTAGGCAGATCATTGTATTGTATATCTGACTACAGTAGGCAGATCATTGTATTGTATATCTGACTACAGTAGGCAGATCATTGTATTGTATATCTGACTACAGTAGGCAGATCATTGTATTGTATATCTGACTACAGTAGGCAGATCATTGTATTGTATATCTGACTACAGTAGGCAGATCATTGTATTGTATATCTGACTACAGTAGGCAGATCATTGTATTATATATCTGACTACAGTAGGCAGATCATTGTATTGTATATCTGACTACAGTAGGCAGATCATTGTATTGTATATCTGACTACAGTAGGCAGATCATTGTATTGTATATCTGACTACAGTAGGCAGATCATTGTATTATATATTATCCTAATGAAAGCAGATGAATGTATTATATATAAGCCCATTGTATGTGCCTATGTTACCGTTTTCTTCACAAGTGAGCCTGTGTCACCCGTGCTCCACATGTGTGTACCTGTGTCACCCTAGCTACAGATTTGTACCTGTGTCACTAGTTACACACGTGTACCTGTCTCATACTTGCTACATATGTATACTTGCCTCAGTTTCACCCTTCGTGCACATTTGTATCTGTCCTATCCTTGATGCACATGTGTCCATGTGTACCTGAGTCACCCTTGCTGCTCATGTGTACCTGTATAACCCATGCAATATAAGTGTGCCTGTGTACCTTTGCTACACATGTATACTTCGTCACCCTTGCTACACATGTGTACTGCGTCATCCTTACTACACATGTGTACTGCGTCACCCTTGCTGCACATGTGTACTGTGTTACCCTTGCTGCACATGTGTACTGTGTCACCCTTGCAACACATGTGTACTGCGTCACCCTTGCTACACATGTGTACTGTGTCACCCTTGCAACACATGTGTACTGCGTCATCCTTGCTGCACATGTGTACTGCGTCACCCTTGCTACACATGTGTACTGTGTCACCCTTGCAACACATGTGTACTGCGTCACCCATGCTACACATGTGTACTGTGTCACCCTTGCAACACATGTGTACTGCGTCACCCTTGCAACACATGTGTACTGCGTCACCCTTGCTACACATGTGTACTGTGTCACCCTTGCTACACATGTGTACTGCGTCATCCTTGCTGCACATGTGTACTGCGTCATCCTTGCTGCACATGTGTACTGCGTCACCCTTGCAACACATGTGTACTGCGTCACCCTTGCTACACATGTGTACTGTGTCACCCTTGCTACACATGTGTACTGCGTCACCCTTGCTACACATGTGTACTGCGTCATCCTTGCTGCACATGTGTACTGCGTCACCCTTGCAACACATGTGTACTGCGTCACCCTTGCTACACATGTGTACTGTGTCACCCTTGCTACACATGTGTACTGCGTCACCCTTGCTACACATGTGTACTGCGTGACAAAGTTGATAAGAGGAATAAATGTTATCTAAGTGTTATCTAACACTTATAACTTGAAGATCTTCCGCTTACACCATGATAGCCATGATGACTGTGGCAGATATCGTGGTAGACATGTGCTACGCCTAGCCGCAGTGTTGCTAGGGTGAGTGCCAGGGTGAAGGGTGAGTGCCAGGGTGAAGGGTGAGTGCCAGGATGAAGGGTGATTGCCAGGATGAGGGGTGAGTACCAGGGTGTAGAGTGATTGCCAGGGTGTAGGGTGATAGCCAGGGTGTTGCGTGATAGCCAGGGTGTAGCGTGACAGCGAAGGTGTAGCATGATAGCCAGTGTGTAGGGTGATTGACAAGGGGTGTAGCGTAATAGCCACTGTGTTGCGTGCTAGCCAGGGTGTATTGTGATATCCAGAGTGTAACGTGATAGCCAGGGTGTAGCGTGATAGCCAGGGTGTAGCGTGATAGCCAGGGTGTAGGTAATTGCCAATGGGTAGCGTGATTACCAGGATGTAGCGTGATAGCCAGGGCGTAGCGTGCTAGCCAGGGTGTATTGTGATATCCAGGGTGTAACGTGATAGCCAGGGTGTAGCGTGATAGCCAGGGTGTATTGTGATAGCCAGGGTATAGCGTGATAGCCAGGGTGTATTGTGATAGCCAGGGTGTAGCGTGATAGCAAGGGTGTAGCGTGATAGCCAGGGTGTATTGTGATAGCCAGGGTGTAGCGTGATAGCCAGGGTGTAGCGTGATAGCCAGGGTGTAGCGTGATAGCCAGGGTGTAGCGTGATTGCCAGGGTGTAGCGTGATAGCTATATTGTAGCGTGATAGCCAAAGTGTAGTGTGATAGCCAGGGTGTAGCGTGATAGCTATATTGTAATGTGATAGCCAAAGTGTAGCGTGATTGCCAGGGTCTAGCGTGATTGCCAGGGTGTAGCGTGATAGCCAGGGTGTAACGTGATTGCCAGGGTGTAGTGTGATTGCCAGGGTGTAGCGTGATAGCAAGAATTGTAGTGTGGTAGCCAGAGTGTAGCGTGATTGCCAGGCAGTAGCGTGATAGCAAGGGGTGTAGCGTGATTGCCAGGGTGTAGCGTGATAGCCAGGGTGTAACGTGATTGGAAGGGTGTAGCGTGATTGCCAGGCAGTAGCGTGATAGCCAGGGTGTAGCGTGATTGCCAGGGTGTAGCGTGATTGCCAGGGTGTAGCGTGATTGCCAGGGTGTAGCGTGATAGCAAGAAGTGTAGTGTGGTAGCCAGGGTGTAGCGTGATTGCCAAGCAGTAGCGTGATAGCAAGGGTGTAGCGTGATTGCCAGGGTGTAGCGTGATAGCCAGGGTGTAGCGTGATTGCCAGGGTGTAGCGTGATAGCAAGAAGTGTAGTGTGGTAGCCAGGGTGTAGCGTGATTGCCAAGCAGTAGCGTGATAGCAAGGGGTGTAGCGTGATAGCCAGGGTGTAGCGCGATTGCCAAGCAGTAGCGTGATAGCAAGGGGTGTAGCGTGATAGCCAGGGTGTAGCGTGATAGCCAGGGTGTAGCGTGATAGCCAGGGTGTAGTGTGATAGCCAGGGTGTAGTGTGATAGCCGGGGTTGTTCCAAAAATTATTACTTCAGGAGTCTTAAGTCTTAATGTCTTAAAGTCTTAAGTTGTGGAGGAGGCCAGCATCCACTAGCCAAGATCCGCCATCTTAGCCCCTCTTAGTGCAGGTCTACCTACCAGCAAGTACTCATAGGGGAGGGGGGGGGGAAGGCAGGGGTTGAGCTCTGGCTCTTTGGTCCCGCCTCTCAACTGTCAATCAACTGGTGTACAGATTCCTGAGCCTACTGGGCTCTATCATATCTATATTTGAAATTGTGTATGGAGTCAGCCTCCACCACATCACTGCCTAATACATTCCACCTGTTAACTACTCTGACACTGAAAAAGTTCTTTTTAACGTCCCTGTGTCTCATGTGGGTACTTGCTATATGGTTCTAATCGTTTGGTGTTTTCTCCTGATAGTTCCTTTTCCCTTCCTGCAATTGGGTACTCAGATTCCACCTGTGCCCCCTTGTAGTACCACCCGTGTTAAATAATCACTAATTATTGACCATGTTAATTCCCCTAAGAATGTGGTGACCATGTCTCCCAGAACTCTTCTCTTATTCCATCGACGTGAGTTGCAATTCACGCAGCTTTTCCTCGTAATTTAATTCAAGGGTGTAGGTGATAACTTAGTTCTTAGTTAAATATATACATATCTATATATATATATATATATATATATATATATATATATATATATATATATATATATATATATATATATATATATATATATATATATATATATATATATGTCGTACCTAGTAGCCAGAACGCACTTCTCTGCCTACTATGCAAGGCCCGATTTGCCTAATAAGCCAAGTTTTCATGAATTAATTGTTTTTCGACTACCTAACCTAACCTAACCTAACCTAACCTAACTTTTTCGGCTATCTAACCTAACCTAACCTATAAAGATAGGTTAGGTTAGGTTAGGTAGGGTTGGTTAGGTTCGGTCATATATCTACGTTAATTTTAACTCCAATAAAAAAAAATTGACCTCATCCATAATGAAATTGGTAGCTTTATCATTTCATAAGACAAAAATTAGAGAAAATATATTAATTCAGGAAAACTTGGCTTATTAGGCAAATCGGGCCTTGCATAGTAGGCTGAGAAGTGCGTTCTGGCTACTAGGTACGACATATATATATATATATATATAATATATATATACACATATATATATAATATACTATATATATACAATATATATATAATACACAACTATATTCTACCCACCTCAAGACTCCGCTCCAAAATAGAAGCATCAAGAAATATGGACCAATAGGCTTTCTGCAATCACTTCTATTCAATACCCATTGTTTCATGTTCTGGCTTGTGTTGATGAAATTAATACCTTATTAAATACCACCTCACCCCATCCACGTCACTCAAATGTAGATATAAACAAAATCGGAGATGTGTAAGTTCTATTCAGTTGTGTATGTGTTAGCTAAAGTCTTTGAAAATGTGATAAGTTTTACGAAACGCGCTCAAGTGTCGCGTCAGACTAGAAATAAAATGAATTTTGGAGAATTGATTTTTGAATTACCTCCAACAGTGAAAAGAAATGTACGAAAGATTGAGAAAATTCGTGTTAGAATTATTAATCTTACTTTTTCGGTCATATTTAATAATATATATATATATATATATATATATATATATATATATATATATATATATATATATATATATATATATATATATATATATATATATATATATATATATATATATATATATATATATATATATATATATATATATATATATATATATATATATATATATATATATATATATATATATATATATATATATATATGTCGTACCTAATAGCCAGAACGCACTTCTCAGCCTACTATTCAAGGCCCGATTTGCCTAATAAGCCAAGTTTTCATGAATTAATGTATTTTCGTCTACCTAACCTACCTAACCTAACCTAACCTAGCTTTTTTGGCTACCTAACCTAACCTTACCTATAAATATAGGTTAGGTTAGGTTAGGTAGGGTTGGTTAGGTTCGGTCATATATCTGCGTTAATTTTAACTCCAATAAAAAAAAATTGACCTCATACATAGAGAAAAGGGTTGCTTTATCATTTCATAAGAAAAAAAATATAGTAAATATATTAATTCAGGAAAACTTGGCTTATTAGGCAAATCGGGCCTTGAATAGTAGGCTGAGAAGTGAGTTCTGGCTACTAGGTACGACATATATATATATATATATATATATATATATATATATGTCGTACCTAGTAGCCAGAACGCACTTCTCTGCCTACTATGCAAGGCCCGATTTGCCTAATAAGCCAAATTTTCATGAATTAATGTTTTTTCGACTACCTAACCTACCTAACCTAACCTAACCTAACTTTTTCGGATACCTAACCTAACCTAACCTATAAAGATAGGTTAGGTTAGGTTAGGTAGGGTTGGTTAGGTTCGGT